GCCTTCGCAGGGTCCGCGGGCCAGTCTGTCCAACTTCTCAACTACTTTTCAAGGTCGTGCCTGCGGGCTCTGGCGGGCCCCCCCGGCGCCCTCAGGGCCGCGCTCTCGAGCGCCCCGGGGTCCGCAACGCTCACGTCAGCCAGCTTCTTCTGCTGCGGGGCACGATGGGGCTTGGCAACGGGGGCGGGCGGGCGGGCGCCTGCCGCTGGCGCTCCACCCTAGGAAAGACGCCTGACGACATTGCGAAACTCGCGCTGCTGTCGCCCCCCGGTTCCTCTTTCCACGAGGGCGCACAACATGCTCAGGGCGTCGGCGACTCTGGGCCGCCAGCTCGCCGCAAAACTCTGGAGGCGCGCCCTTCTCAGACCGCGCTCCTTCACCACTACCAAAGTCTGAAAGTTATGACTGCGGGCCCTGCCAACATAGCGTTGGGCGTCGCCGTCGGGGGCGCCGCAGGCCTTGACATGTGCTTCCACGCTCTTCACTGAGGCCCCGCGCTTCCGACCGAGCGCGACGAAGCTTGACTGGCAGGCCTGAACAAGCGGAGCAGCAGCTGATGCGTTCAGGCACTGTCTCGCTCAGCGGACAAACAGTGACAAACAGATGTGGCCGCCTCCTGCCACAGCTCCTCAGGGGCATCGGTCGGGGGGCCTTCGCAGGCACACTGAGTACGCGCGGGCTCTTCGAGCTGGCTCCTCTCGCCGGTGCCCAGGGCCCGCCGGGGATCTTCTGGGGCGCCCTCCTGGCCCAGATACGATCGGGCAGTCATCCCTGGGTCGATGTCGGCCTCGCAGGGGGGAAGCGGCTCATCGAGGTCTTCCAGACCTTCCCAGCCGCCCAGGCCGCCGAACTCCTCGAAAGGGTTCGCCTCTGAGGAGTCCAGAGCCACGAGACGACGGGCACCTCCGGCAGCGCTCGGCGTCGCGCAGCCAGCAGCCCCGCGAGCGGAACCAACCTCAGCGGCGGACTGCTGTTCCGAATTGATTGGGGCCTGGCTTGGGTCAGCAGGATAACGCGACCCCCCTGAGGTCTCAGAGCTTCCCATCGTTGGTCGCTCAAATCCTGGCCCCTTTCTCCCGGCCCGCTTGGGGCGAGGATGGGCGGGGGGCGGGGGCGGCAGCGATGGGGGAACGACGTTTCCCCATCAGACGCCGCTGCATCTTGCCGTCCCCCTGGTGAGGCATGGCATTTTGCCTGGCAGGATGCTTGCGAGGGGCGGGCATGACCCGGCCACGCGCGTGGGCAGGCGCAACGCTCGCCCTGAGACTCAGGACTTGACCAACGTGGGGCCCCCATCGGGCCGAGACTGTCTGTGGGCTCCCTAAATCGGGGATCGCACCATGACTCATGAGCACATAGTATATCAGAGATGGCTGGACGCCAGCCTTGTAACATGTGAAACCGACCGCCGGGGATGGTGACAATAGTAGATCCGAGCGTTTGTGACCACCCCGACATCTAAAACCTTTCAGGAGACGCGTCGCTAGTTCCAGCCGCGATCCAGGGTAACCTGCACGAGCTGGGGAAAGCAGCCATGGAGGCGAGCGGCAGCACTGTTGCCAGTGCAGCAATTCGATCCGTCAAGGCACAGACTGACAGGATTGATGCTGACTCCCTTGAGATGCCACGTGATGGGCATCCAACTGCAGGAACTAGACGTGCGACAGCGGTCAACATCTGCCTTGGCAGTAGACTCTGATGCTGTGCGTGGGCGAGCGAGTTCGCGTTACTGCGGCGCGCGGCAGAGAAGACGGCCTTCGGGCCCCGGCCCTTCGACTCTCTCTCTCTCTCTCTCTCTCTCTCTCTCTCTCTCTCTCTCTCTCTCTCTCTCTCTCTCTCTCTCTCTCTCTCTCTCTCTCTCTCTCTCTCTCTCTCTCTCTCTCTCTCTCTCTCTTTCTCTTTCTCTTTCTCTTTCTCTTTCTCTTTCTCTTTCTCGCTCTCTCTCTCTCTCTCTCTCTCTCTCTCTCTCTCTCTCTCTCTCTCTCTCTCTCTCTCTCTCTTTCTCTCTCTCTCTCTCTCTGCCGCCTGCCTGGTTTCGTACCTGACGTGCATCTCCTACAGGACGTGCCTGGGCGACCGCTTTTCAGCTTCATCGGTCTTGGCTCGTCCAGGCCCCCTGGACATCACTTGGCAGGCGCGCCCGGCCCCGCCCTGGGGTTGTGGTCGTCTCTGCCCGCTCCCTGGCCTGCTGCAGCGCATTCGCCTTGGCCGCCTCGCGCGACATGGCGATCCTCGCAGCCTTTTCCATATCCGCCTTCGCCTTGGCTTCTGCTGCCGCTGCCGGCTGGGCCTCCGCCACTGCGGTGGCGGCGGCCGCGGCTGCGGCGCCTGCGCCTGCGGCGTCGGCCGCCGCTGCGGTCGTGGCATGGGCGCTGGCGGCGTCGGCGGGTGAGTCCTGCTGCTGGCGCCTCTTCTTGGGCGCCTGCGTCTGCTCCTGTTTCGCCTGCTGGGCCTTGGCCCTCGCCAAGCCCAGGTGCGTCCGCAGCTGGGAGACGAACCCATCCACGCGATGCTTGAAGTCCTTCAGCATGGCCGCCTTCGCGTCCGAGGCTCCCTTGATGGCCTGCTCGTCCAGCTCGTCTTCGTCCACCTTCAGCGCGGCGCCCAGGTCCGCGAGCGACTCTGCGGCCAGGGCGTCGGGCGGCATAACTCGTAGAGCTTCCCTTAGCAAGTCATTGCTGGAAGCTTAAGAGTAATTCCGGGGCGCTGGAGAGCTAGTTGGCGAGAAAAATCTCGACGGACATGTTGATGACTTTTGGTCGGTTGAAAATTCGGTTCTCGAAATTCAACCATTCGTTAGAGCTCTAGTATTTTTCCCGTGATAGTCGATGTCATTCCCGCTCGCCATCTTGATCTCAGCTCGATCGGGTACCTTTTAATGCCAAAAAGCACTGCGGCGGGATCGCCCGTCTCGGGTCAGCTTGTCACGCGGTGACGGTTTTCTCAAGATAACTCGAGCTTCAGGACAGGTACAGAGCTGGTAAACACAGCTAATCGATTCAGAATAATCAGGCGCGTTCGCCTGTTGAACCCAGAGGTCTGAACTCGGTCTGCTAGCCGAGCTAGGTTCGCAAACCTATTCGTATTATTCGAGTTATCTTGAGAGACGCTCTGGGTTTTCTGTACTTAAGTCGAGCTAAAGGACAGTACAGAGCTGATACGTACAGAATCTGATTCCGAATCATCAGTGGCCCTTGTCTGTTGACTCCAGAGCTGTGAACTCGGTCTGCTGCCCGATCTAGAATCGCAAAAACTATTCGTATTGTTCGAGTTATCTTGAGAGAGGTTCTCTGCACTTAACTCGGGCTGTAGGGCAGCTGCATGGCTGGTAATCACTAGAATCGATTCGGAGACATCAGGCGCGTCCGCCTTTCGAATCCAGAGCTTCGAACTCTGTCTGCTGCCCGAACTAGGTCTGCGAAAATATTCGCATTGTTCGAGTCATCCTGACAGGTGCTGTCGGTTTCCTGCACTTAACTCGGGCTGTAGGGGGGGCTGTTGGGCTGGTAATCACAGGAGTCGATTCGCAGACATCAGACGCGTCCACCTGTCGCATGCAGAGGTCTGAATTCGGTCTGACACTCGAGCTAGGTTTGCCAAACTATTCGTAATATTCGAGTCATCTTGAGAGGTGCTGTCGAATTTCGCACGTAACTCGGGCTGTAGGAGAGCTACAGAGCTCGTACAGAAGAGAATCCAGAAGCATCGGGGGCGTTCGGCTGTTGCATCCGAGAGGTTTGAAATTGCTTGGGTTGAAAAAACTACTTTTTCTGTGTAATTTGTCTCTACATTATGTGTTGTCAGGAAGCTCTACGAGTCCCCCGGCGGTAACAAAGGTTGACGGTTTACCGCCGGCGCCCAGTGGCGAGGGCGTCGTGCAGCAGGTTCCCCTTGGGAGCGCCCTCGACATGGATCTCGTTGACGATCTGCTCCGCCTTGACGACAGCCTGGGCCTTCGTCATCGCGTCCTGCTCCAGCTCAGCGAGCTTGGCCTTCGCCTCGTCGCGCTTGGCGAAGGTTTTGTAGTACTCGATGTTGGCCTCCTCTAAGCTCCTGGCCGCCTCAGCGGCCTCGCGGCCTTGCTCCTGCAAGGAGCCGCTGCCGCGGTGGCCTGGGTGAGCCATGCCCTGCGACTGGCGCTGGGCCACCTCGGGGGCGAGCTGCATGCTGGCGAGGTGGGGCGAAACGCTCTCGAGGGCCTTCGTGAGTCCTGCCGTCAGTTGGGCGTCTGGACCCTTCGCAGCATCTGACTCTGTGAAGCCCTTCCTCGAGAACTGGACTCCACACTTGCACTTGAAGCCCAGCGCCTCAAAGTTGGCGTCCCGTTCCAAATTGCTGCACCTCTTGCGCTGGATCAACTGTTGCTGCTTCTTGCCGTCCATCTTGGCGAAGAGGTGGTGACCGTGGTGCTGGGCGAGCTGCTGCTGGGCCCGCTGGCCCTCGAGTGAAACCTGAGCGACATTCGCCAGCCGCCTCGCTTCTGCTCTCTGCGCCCGCGCCTGCCTATGGGAGGCAGTGACTGGGACGTGTCGGATGTGTCGGATGCGCCGACCAGCGACCTCAGCTGGAGGTCGGGTCCGATAGGGCCGGCTCTGCTCTCAAGCGAGCGAGCGATATCACAATGGACAGGCTTGGGAATGGCACGACGCCTGAGAGGAGGAGGAGGAGGAGGCGGAGGAGGAGGCGGAGGAGGAGGAGGAGGAAGAGGAAGAGGAGGAGGAGGAGGAGGAGGAGGAGGGAAAAGGAGGAGGAGGAGGAAGAGGAGGAAAGGGAGGGGGAGGACCAGGGGCAGGACCCTGAAGGCTGACGTTGCGAACAAAACACAACATCCCAGAAAAGCACGAATGGAGCCCTGGACGAGCGATCTCTGATGGTCCTGAGGCCCGAAATCGGGCGAACCTGCCCGACGTGAAAAATTGCAGCGCTGGGGTCTGACGGGAGGAGCGGGGGAGAGGCGGCGACAGCAAAACAGAGGACGGGGAGGGCTCAGTGGAGCGCGCCAGCAGCGCGAAGGCGATAAAAGCGGCGAAGGCGACGCCGAGCAGCGGCTCTACCTCCGATATCAACGGGTTGGCCACGTCGCTCCAGTCGATGCCCCCGGATAGTGCCTTGCCAGCACCGCACGGGTTAGGTCGGGCATGTCCCCCTACAGGCGGATCTTGGACGACAAATTGAAAGCAGTCAACAAATCACCCGAAAATGCGCGAAAAAACAAAAAGACGTACCCATTGTACTTTTACTATGTTTGAACATCCCTCCTGTAGAGGGACACGCCCGACTTAACGTGAGGGCTGCCGACGGTGCAACGGCGACGCCGACGGCGGCGGCGTCGGCGGCAGCGACGGCGGCGACTGCGGCGGCGAGCGGCAGCGGCGGCGGCGTGGCTCCTCCTCCTCCTCCTCCTCCTCCTCCTCCTTCCCCTCCTCCTCCTCCTCCTCCTCCTCCTCCTCCTCCTCCTCCTCCTCCTCCTCCTCCTCACCATCATCATCATCCCTCCTCGCACGTAGTATTTAGAGCTCCTCTTCCTCCTCCTCCTCCCTCCTCCTCTTCTTTCCCCTCCTCCTCCCCAGCCCCACCCTCCTACTCCTACACAACACGGCCAGCCCTTGCCACAGAGAGTGGATCCCTCTCCTCCTCCTGAACCGAACCCCGAACACCGAACCCCGAACCCACATCGGAGGCAGCAGCATGTACACAACACCAGCCCACTACTCATGCATGCGTGCACCACAAAGCCGCTCTACCTCTGTGCCTTCGGAGAAAGCAACAGTGTCGACGACCGTCGCGGAAGCCATCGGCGCATCCGCTCCGTCCAGCGGCGACGGATGCCCGATGCAACCAGGGGGCCCGCGCGAAGCGTCCACTGCTTACCACATCACTGCGGCTCGTCTTACCTCCACTCGCTGCCCATCAGGGGTGCACGAGCACATTTTTTTGTTTTTCCCCCACGGGCCCGGGGCCACTGCTTGTTTTTTGTTTACCCTTTATAATCGAAGAATCCGCCACCCCGCACGGGGTAATGAGTGAAAGCGACAGCAAAAAAGATGAACTCAATGATCGTCATACGAGAGGCGCCTGGCTCGCGACTTCTCCGCGCCCCTCTTGACCCAGCGGCGCAGCAGTTTCTGGGGCGACACGCCCGTTGCCGCAGGCGTGAACCGGAGGTAATTGGTAGTGCGGTACACGCCGTAATTGACCAGCGCCATTCGCACGACATCTTCTGGAGAAGTTCCTGGGTCCAGGAGGAAGAATGCAAGCATAGTCGGCGGCGATTTCACGCCCAATCCAGCAGGTCTGTCTCGTTGCAGATGGCTCCACACAGCAGGACATATACTGTAGTGCTCGATGCTGTCGTCGCCGCTCTTGCAGCCGAGTAAGCACTGCCACGGCTCGCCGACCCCATCTTTCTCTGCGTGCCTCATCCGACGACGGGTGGCCCAGCCGTTGAATAACGTGCGGAGGTATGCCGACGCCACCCTGGGCGGGCACCACTTATGCAGAATGTCGAAAGCCTCCTGGACACGCGCCACCAGCGCCGCTTCGTCGCCTGGAAACTTCCACCGGGCAAGCTTGTGAGCAGTGCGCTGTAGATGGTCAGGTCGGCAATGGCGATTGATCAGATCGGTTGCAATAGACTGGAAGCTGGCTGGACCAAACCCAGCAGGGCCGTTCAGCACCCTCCGGATCTGGCTGCGGCTGATCCCGTCCTTCTCCAGTTGCTGCTCTGTGCGGTGCAGGATTGCGAACAAAGAGTTGGCGTGCCAGCTCCCGAACGGGCCTTGCAGTACTCCTTCATCAAGCATGCGCAACTCTTCGACGCGCTCTTTGCAGTCCGGGGCGACAGTTTCAATCACTCTCAGCTTAGCGGCCCGTGCAACGCAGCGAGGTTGAGCGAATGAAAACTTGAACCCGAATGCCTCTCGTAAGTTGCACAAATCTTCAGGCATGGTCCAGTTCCCAGGGCCCGGAGCCAGGCGGCGTAACGCCCAAGAAAAGATGTTATCCATGTCCCCCGGCAAATCCTGAAGCTGCATCACGAAACTCAATACCGATATGATGAACGTGTTGAACACAATGCTGTTCAAGAAAAGTCCAAGGTGCCTTTGTGCCCAGCTCTGCACGCGCTTCGTGAATTTCTCGAGAGGCTTATCCCATGACATGTTGCCGGCGCCTGGCCCCACCCAGTAACTCAGGGGTGCACGAGCACAGCTCCCCGTTGGACAGAGGGCTCCTCCTCCGCCTCCTCCTCCTCCTCCTCCACGCCATCGGATGGTGCATGCCACACCGAGAGGATCGCCTAAGGTGACGACAACCTCCTCCTCCTCCTCCTCCTCCTCCTCCTCCTCCTCCTCCTCCTCCTCCTCCTCCTCTTGCTCCTCCTCCTCCTCTTGCTCCTCTTCCTCCTCCTGCTCCTTCTCCTCCTCCGTCTTCTCCCTCTCTTCCTCCTTCTCCTCCTTCTCCTCCTCCTCCTCCTCCTCCTCATCCTTCTCCGTCTCCATCTCCTTCTTCTTATCCTTCTCCCTTCTTATCCTTCTCCCTCCTTCTCTCCTCGCCCTCCCCCTCCGTCTCCCCCCGCGACGGCCCCGACAACAGCGCCTGCCACAGCGAGAGGATCGTCTGGGCGAGCGAGCTGAAATGCTCCCTGACCGAAGGACGTCGACAGTCCTCCTAATCTTCGGTGGCAAATCATGGGAGCCTGACGTACCAACTTGTCGGCTCTTGCGAATCTATGCTAATCGGCGCTGGTCGACGCTACATCGCGGCCAAATCGTCGCTCATCAGCACTGACCGACGCGGAATCGGCACATCTCAGCAACTCCCAGACGCGAATCGACGCTTAAGACGAAATTGAGAGAGTACGCACTGCTCCCATGCTCTGCTGCCGAACTCGTCGATGCTGGCCCGGCAGATCCTGTGCCCAGGATCGGTGTACGTCCCTGGCCAAGCCAGCCAGGAGGCGTATACAGCGGGCTCGTGTCGTGACGTCCCCGGCGTTGGTTTCTGACACCACTTTTTTTTGAGGGGAGGGGGACAGGCGAGGGGCAAGGCGAGGGGGATAGGAGGGAGAAGTTGAGGGCCTCCCCCCCTCGGCAAGACGGCCTTGCGCTGTCCTTTCTTAGAGGAGGGCGACCCATATGGAACGATCGGCGGCTTCTCGATCCGGCCGATCATTCCATATGGACCGACTCTGGGCCACTGGCGGCGTTCAGCCTTGAACGCCCGCGGCGGGTTCGAAACCGGTCGACACGACGCGAACCTATCGCACACCTACCCTGGGCCCACGATGGGCCTGGCCAGCATTTTTGCACGTGTGGCTGCCGACGCCCCCTGGCCTGAGCTTGAATTCCCCCGAGGAGTAGTCGATGTCAGAAGGTCAGAAGAAAGAGCGCACACATGCTATGTCGGATGTCCGCGCGGAGGTCGTGCTTCGATGCGCTGGCTCCCCCCCCTCCCTCCTGAGGGGGAGCGAGAAGGATGGGGGGGGGCAACATCGACCTGGGATCCAGCGTACATCGCCAATAGATCGGCAACAGGCCACCGACTTCAGATCCAAAGGGTCCTGGGCGGTGTGAGCTATGAGGCCCGTGTCGGCGATGGATCTGAGCAAGGACCGACCGTCTGGGTAATCCTGTAGGCCTACCCCGACATGTCCGTAGAGCCAAAGAGCAAAAGCAATGTTTTTCGAACGTACCTGTTCTGAGAACATGTCGTGCAAACCCCAAGAGGCTATCATAGCATTCTCTGGTGGGCCCACAATTAGGCCAGCCAGGACGCTTCGCCACCGCATGAACGTTCGTTAGAACATAGGGTTTCCCGGGCCTGGCGTAGCCCCTCTCCCCTGTCCTGCCCCTGCCCGCTCCTGTCTCTCGCCCTTTCGTGCTTCCTCTCCTTGCTTTTGGCTCAAGGCCGCGCGCGGCCTGTGCGCCACCTCTTTTTGGAGGTGGGCGGGCGGGGCCATGGCACGCTGCCCAGCCGGGGAGGCCGAGCAGTCTGAGGAGTGCTGGGTAGTGGCTGAGCCAGGTCCCCCCTCCAGTGCGGGCGGGTGCTCCGGAGGGGAGCCCCGCAGTCCGCAACGGACGTGCGGACGCCCACGAGGGAGGGCCGGAGGAGATGAGGCCCGTCCACGGGTTGGAGTGCACCCTGGCCTTGGCTATGGGCGCTCTGGCTACGTGGCTCGACGTGTCCTTTGGCGTCAACTGGTATGCGACGGTCCACGCGTCGGCCATCGTGACGGGCCCCGAGGAGGGAGGTCATGAGCGCGCCGGACCTGATGACGAAGGAAGTGAGCAGCAGCAGGACTGGCCTGGTCCCCAGGACGAGCCCAGCTGCGAGGAGGCGGGCGGTGATGAGCTGCCAGCGGTTGAGGCGCCCGAGGGGCCACCTCTACCAGCGGCGCTCCCCGTTCCCGCGGAGCCCTTGGCAACGGGCCCGCCGCCAGCCATGGCCGGTCCGGGCAGGCGCTCCGGTCGGGAAGGCGAGAACTTAGAGGAGTACTACGCCTACTGCGACTACTACTACGCCGACCACGTCCAGGCGAGGGCGGCGCCCTGCGCCATCACCACGGGTTCCCCCCCGTGGGCCTGGCGGCCAAGAGGAGCCCCGGGTAGGCGAGGCGGAGGAGGTGGACACCGCGCTGCAGGACGACGGCGCGCGGCTCGAGGCCGAGGGAGTGAGGGAGGCATCCGCGCCCAAGCCTGCGAGGACGCAGGAGGCGCGTGCAAAGGAGGAAGCCAAGGAGGCGAAGGCATCGGGGGCAGGACCGCCGCCCCCCCCGCCCGAGGGGCGGAGAGGGACCGTCGGACCCGACGGAGGGTGGCGGCAAGCCCGCCGGCGCGCGTGCCCCAGCCTCAGCCACGGCACGCGGCGGAGAGTTCTTCTCGATGGAGCGGGTCAACTCCTTTGCCGAGATGGTGCTCGAGTGGCTGGGGGAGAGAATGGGGTGCGCTCTGGGCGCACTCCTCCACCAGCCCATCGCCTTCATCGTGGGTCTGGTGGACTCCCTGGGCCGCTACCCACTTGGCGCCTACTGGGCGAGGTTGCAGTGGGCGGCCATGGGGATGGCGGCCCTGGGTCTTGCGACGGTGCTCGGATCGACAGTGGGCCTCCTTGTCTGGTTCCTGCGGACGGCATGGAGCTACGCGTCTCTGTCACTGGCGACGCTGAGGGGTTTCGCGCAGGGCAGCAAGACGGGGCACGACGTGAAGCTGGCGCTCGACGGCAACTCGGCGGAGGTCCTCAGCTGGCACGGCCCGTCGGAGGCGTTGGCTGCCGACGAGGAATACGTCAAGACCGAGGTCCGTGCAAGAGGAGGTGGAGCAGAGAAGATGATGCCCAACGACCTCGTCATCCAGTCAGGGGGCTCAGTGGCCCGGCTTGAGCAGGGGCCGCTGAAGGGCGGCCGCATCACGCGTAATGGCTACGTGTACAAGTTCAGGGTGGTAAAGGGCAGTTCCCATCGCCACCTGAAGGCCGACTTGGAGGAGACTCGGGACAACGAGGGTATCGGTCTGGTGCATCTGTGCGCGGCGTCTCCTTGCAGCCTCCCAGCCGGCGACAAGCCCATGGTCCACGTCTGCTCGTCGTGCGTCGTGGCCCACAGCTCTCCTGTCAACGTGGCGGACTTTGCTAAGCTCTCCCCAGCAGGGCGCGCCAGGATTGGCAGCTGGTTGTGCTGCTCGTGGGTATGCCGCGGAGTGGGCAGAGCGGGAGGAAGGCTGTTCAGGTGCTGCGCCAGGCGGAGGCTGAGGCATCCCAAGTTGGGGCAACCGTCCAGCAAGGCCGAGGAGATGGACCCCAACTCGGAGACCGAGTCAGAGCCGAGCACGGACGTCTGCCAGGCGGGCCAAGTGGCGTACGTCACCAAGGATGGCACCCAAGTCCCGAGCGCCGCGTGCTGCCGTGATACTGCCAGGCAGGATCCAGTCTTCATGCTGGTGGAGAACACCGCGGTATCCGACGTGCGTGAGATGCAGGAGGATGGAGGCACTCGGGTCTTTCGGGCGTGTGCCCACGCGGGCACCTACGAGAGCCAGGCGGCTGCGCGGAGGTGCGCACGTTCGCAGTGCCATCGTGCCCATGTGGTCGAGAAGGACGGCTTCTCCCTGCGCGCGGCTCACGCAGCCGATCGGACGGTGGGTTGGCGCAGCCGATCGGCCACGCCTCACCAGAAGGATGGAGCTTGAGAGCGGAGGTCGAGCAGCAAGGAGCTGGAGAGGAAGGACGAGGACCGCGCAGCTCGCCGCCCACCCGGGGCTGCGGGCCGGAAAGGCAGCCCCGCCAAGGCTGAGGTTGAGGCCGCGTGGCTACTGCATGCGCGGGACCCTTTGGCGGACGCGGAGCACGAGTGGGAAGCGCACTGCAGCTTCCCGGCACGCTTCGTCGGCCCGGCCAAGGACGTCAGCGACGACGACCCGCGGACGGACGTGGAGGCGGTCGGCCTGGGGCTGGTCTTCTCCATCCCGGATGGTGCCTTCACGGCGCCCAGGCCGGAGCTGCTTGACGAGTTCGTGGGGGCCCAGCCCCTCGCCATCTGCGGGCGCTCTGGCGCCGCGTGGCGGCTCTCGGACCACGGCGATGGTACGAATTACCGCGGGGACGTGCTGCGTCCAGCTTCCGCCATAGCGCTCAGCAAGGACCGCAGCCGCCATCACCTCGCCAAGCGGGCGCGGTCCAGGAGTCGCAGCACTACCCCGACGAGGAGAGATACACGGGCGGACTTCGACGCGAAGCTGAGGAGAGCTCAGGAGCAGGACGCGGAGCAGCGGATCCAGGACCCGAGATCATCGCTCATCTCGGCCTACCTCACTAATCGCGCGGACGGGCTCACAGATGGAGCGGCCAGAGGGGCCATCTCGTCTGAGAGTGACATGGGCAAGCACGAGTTGCTCGCAGAGCTCATCGAGGCGGCCGACGCGACGCATGGAGGAGGGGTCAGCGAGGTGGGCGCCAGTCTCCTTAGAGGATGCCGCGAGGTGTGGAGCAAGGAACTCGAGGGAGGAGAGGGAGGCCAATCCCCAGGAGGGACAGAAGGGCCCTCAGCGCCGCTACCGGCCCACACCCCCTACGACGGCCACGAGGCGGCGGTCGGTGGGCAGAGGGCGGCTGTGCCACCTTGGCCCGCAGGGAGCGGGCGCGCGGGCCCAGCAGCCCCGCCGAGGCCTTCCCCAGCGGGGCCCCCGCCGGGCCTAGGTTTCCTAGGCTTCGGTCAGAGGCCGCCCCCGAGGCAGGAGGCGCATGTCAGCTTCAACTCGAGTGCGTTCTACGGGACAGGAGGGGCCAGCTCGACTACACCATGGACCGCCAGGCCGCCCCAGCAGCCCTCCTTTGTGGAGCGTGCTACGCGGCCGCGGGAATGGCATGCAGGAGCTTCGTCGATGCCGCAAGAGGAAAGGGTTCTGGGCGCACCGTCGCCCCAGTCTGAGGTCGGGATTGGGCTGCAGAATCTGGTGCGCGAGCTGGGGCGAGCCAACAAGCACACGGAGGAGTCAGGAGGCGCAGCCAAAGGTACTTTGGCCAGCATCGGGCGCGTGGAGGAGCAGATCACTTTCATGGCGAGAGGCTGCGATTGCTACACCGTCACGCTGTGTCTGGGGCTGCTGGGCAAGGATGCTTCCCATGCGCTGAGGTCTGTGGGTCAGAACT